GCAGACTCGGGAAAAGCAATTTCCTAAAATGCCAGATGAGGCAGCAACGAGCTGGAATTATATATCAAAAGGTACCTGCTCCCAGAATTTCCTGGCATTTGTTCACTAAATTAAGACGTTTTGTGTGTGTGTTTGTTTTATTTGGTGTGAATGTAACTGTTTCAACAGATTCTTGATCATAATCATAGCTCCAAAATCTAAATTTAATTTAATTTTTTAAAATACGTTTTTAAGGTGCCACTATTAAGTCTATTGTCCTTAACATTTGAAAAAAAATAGTCTACTTCAAGCTTACAGCTGAAAGTTTCTTCAGTATGATTTTCTGGCACAATTTAGGGAACAGAAGACCAAATAAAACTTATGATAGACTATTTAGAATATACCTAACATTCAGATTACAATGAAAGCACACGTGCATTTTTTTTAAAAAATGTTTTTATTGTTTCCAAATTTCAAATCTATTTGCATTTTGACTAACTTGAAAATAACCCAATAGTAATAAAAGTGATATGGCAATTTTTGTTTCCCAGTTTCTTATGGGTATATATGCTTTACTAAATAGATAGCATGACATAGCTAATAAGCTATTTATTTCTAATGGCAAAGGAGACTGATTTTTATAGTTTGGTTTTGTTGATGTATTTTTTTAATGTTTGAAAAATATTAGAAGATACATATTTTTAGTCAGTTTAGACTTGAGCTTAGGAAATTCCCTGTAAAACAGTGAGGGCAAATCATAATATGTTTATAATGTATTATTCTTATATATTATAATATATACATAAGATACAATATAATTTGCTACAAATAATAATTTGCAGTAAAAACAGAAAAAGGAACCAACAAGAAATGTTACAAATGTTTATTTATCTCACAGGTGTTTCTAAAATATCTCTTTTTATTTATGATTACCAACTCCTTCACATTATAGTCTCATGCTGTCTATGGGACACCTCAGTAGGTTATAAAGAATCATAAAACAGTGAAGTTTTCTGCCATCTGGACAGACTGGAGGCTTCGTGGACCAGCTGCCCATATCCAGGCTGCTATACTTGAAGGCACATGAGCAGGACAGACATGAACAGCAGTCTGCCCAGTAAGTTATCCTCTTTAAAGTATTTGGTGTTAGCCAAGGGACATAGTGAAGGAGGTTAGAGGACTGAAAACCTTTTTCCAGTGTAAAAAGGAGATCCTTACAGGTTGTTTCTCAACCCTCCTGGTCAGTAACCTCAGATTCCCTCCTGTCCTGGGCCAAATATCTAAAAATCTATTTACATGTCTATTTTCCTTGTTCTTCCTCTTGACTGCAGCCTCAGGTGGATTGCCTTGGTTGATACCATACCTGGAGTGCTGTGTTCAGTTCTGCGCTCCCCAGTTCAGGAAAGACAAGGAACTACTGGAGATGGTCCAGTGGAATGCTATGAAGTTGATTAGGGGATTGGAGCACCTCAGTTGCAAGGAAAGGCTCAGGCAGCTGGGCCTGTTTGGCTGGAGAAGGGAAGAAGACTAAGAGGGGACCTGAAGGGAGAGTGTCAAGAGGATGGAGCCAGGCTCTTCTTGATGGTGCTAAGCAATAGGATGAGAGGCAATGGGCAGAAACTGATGCACAGGAAGTTCCACCTGAACATGAGGAAGAACTTTGTTGTGACAGTGACAGAGAACCCAGGGAACAGGCTGCCCAGGGAAGTTGAGGAGTCTCTTTCTCTGGAGATATAAAATCATCTGCACATGATCCTGTGTAGATGGCTCAAGGCGAACCTGCTCTAGCAGGAGGATTGGACTCGATGATCTCCAGAAGTCCCTTCCAACCTCAACCATTCTGTGATTGAGTGATTCCGTAACAGGCACTTAATCATCCTCTACCTTTTCTAGGCATTTGTAGTTTTTTTCTTAAACTCTATTTTTTCCTTCTTGTTTGTATTTCATTGAACCTGCTTCTGTTGGAGAAAATGGCAAATTGCCCATAGCAGCAACACTGAAGCTAGAAACATATTGTCAGACTCTTTTATCAAGAAAAAGTACTCTGCAGGTAAAGATGTTTCCTGAGAACCTCCTTGAAATGCTGTTCTTCTTTCCCTTTTGGCGAAAAGTTACAGGATCTTGTGTGCACTTTTCCAGTCTCCAGGTTAAACCGTACCTACTTTTGTTAGCTTTTAAGGGATTCACAATTGCTCAAGTTATAAAAATGAACAAAATGTGCATGTCACTAGACCTGCACTTTTTAATTATACCTATCCTGCACGTTTCACTGAAGTGCTGAAATACTGAATAAATTGGACTAGCTGAAGCAGCTGACATTTCTGGCAGACACGCCCTCGTTGCTTTAGTATGCCCAAGTTCATTACTGCACACCACCTGCCTGCTACCTGCAAATTCCCCATGTACTCTCATCCCTCTGTACATCAGGGATCTTTTGTAACCCTCTCCAGCTACTCTCATTTCATGCCACCTATTTAATTTCCTTCAAAGATTTATTCCTGCAGGATCCCTTCCTTCCATTTTTTTCCCCTATTTTTTTCTTTCCTTTTGTAGGAAATAAATTATTCAGGGCGTCAACATACTTAAACTAGAACTGAGATGGAGGTAGTTATAATGAAATGCTAATAATTGCCAGAAAAATTACAGAGTTGTTCTCAGCTGCTAGATCTGCCAAGGAGCTGCCAGGAGCACTGTGTGTTTCCCCTACTCTTCTTCTAATTTAGTGATTTTTCACCAAAATAGGGCGTTGGTCTTCAATTCTAAACTTTCAGAAAACATTCCAGTGCTGATTGGATGTGTCATTCAAAATTAATCACATAATGGACAAAGAAACAGAGGAATGTTTTTCTGTTAAAATGAGGGCTTTTGATGCATGCTTAGGGTGTGCTTCAACATTACACTTATCTGTTGGCCCATCCCTCTGCTGTGTCAATGCAACTCTACAGGGAGGCTGTTCTATAAATAAGGTTGCTTCCATTAACATGGATTATTTCCCTAAGCTGGCTTGCTGTGCAGACTCACAAGAAGTTTTGCCAGTAAAATTCTTCATTTCCACCACTCTCTAGCACAGATGTAGCATTCTGTAAAGGAACTCTTTAAGAGTGCTAGTCCTAGAGAAATTGTAAGTCAGAAGCACAATCTTAATTAAAGACCACTGATGCTGTTAAAATCTTTCTGTCCCTCACCTCCCTGCTACCACCTCTTAGCCACAGGTTGCTGAAGAATGATCAAACGAGCAGTCCAAGCTGCTTCAATTCTTTGTGAGGTGAACACTGTTTTATGGGCTGTGATTCACAAGTGAAGATGGCGGAGAGAGTGAGGTGATGATGTATGTAAAATGAGGTTAGATTCATGGTTAACTCAGTATGTGTATACCAGAGGAAGAACAGAAAGGTAATCCAACAGGAGCTGGAGCCTCCTGACCTTGATTAGCTCAGCCAGATTTCTACATAGGTACTGCTATGGGGGGTAGGCTCTTACCTGAGTGCTCGCTCTTTGGGCTTCACATGAACTATCTCAAATGCTCTACAGTGTTGTCTTTTCTGTTTTCAGCCACATAACTAGACTGCAGATTAAACACATTGGATTTAAAAATGTCCAGGAGGAATATGTAACTCAACAGGTATATTCCAGGCTTTTCTTTAAAACTCAAATCAGAGGACTTTGTAAAAGCTTATTCATTATCTACATCAAAGCCATGCCCACAGGCACTGCCTACTGCACTTCTCTCTGACAGAAATGGGCCCATCTCCTTTCCATATGCCAACTACCAAGGAGTCCATTAACTCACCTTTCCAGGGCTTTTGCTGCCAGGAGCAACCCCAAAAGGGCTTGAGGCTTTTGGCAAAGGCTTTTCTCTATGATCACCATAGTGAGAAGCGCTTTGGGCATGCAGAGTATCAAGGGCATTCCTGGGTGACAGGAATTCCTCCCACATTTGAAATTGTGAAATTCAGAACCTAAGAAGAACTTCACATGAAAACAAGTTGGAAAATGCCACTTTTATTAAGCACCGTGAAAACAACAAGCATTTGCCACCACCAAGGGTTGCTCTACACGGTCACTCATCAAACCTTGGAGCTGGGCTGGCTGGGATAGTGGCACATGCCAGGTGTGATGCTCCATGTCAGAGTCCACCATGCCCAGATCCCCACTGTGGGGGCTCATACGCATCCAGGGGGCAGCCAGGCTGCTATGCCATGGAAGGAGATTGTTGGGAAATGTGTCCAATTCTGGGCCCCTCACTACAGACACTGAAGTGTTGGAGTGTGTCCAGAGAAGGGCAGTGGGGCTGGGCAAGGGTCTGGAGCACGAGTCTGATGAGGAACAGCTGAGGGAACTGTGTGGGGCTCAGCCTGAAGAAAAGTGGAAGGACCTTATCGCCCTCTACAACTACTGAAAGGAAGTTGTAGGTGGGGGTCAGCCTCTTCCGCCAGGCAACTGGTGACAGGATGAGAACACATAGTCTTAATTTGCCTAGGGGAGGTTTAGGTTGGACATCAGGAAGAATTTCTTCAGAAAACGGGTGATCAGACACCGGAATGAGCTGCCCAGGCGGGTGGTAGCATCACCGTCTAGGAGGTGTTTAAGGCAAGACTGGGCGTGGCACTCAGTGCCATGGCCTAGTGGACATAGTGATGTTGGGTTCCAGGTCGGCATCGACGATCCCAGGGATCTTTTCCCATCCAACCGAGTCTCACATGGGGGGCATGACCCCCACCCCTCACGGACACGCGCCGAACACGCCCCGCCCCCTCCCGGGCCCCGCCCCCGGCAGGGCATGTGACCTCCCCTCGGTGCCGCCTCTGGCCCCGCCCCTGCGCTCCCGCCAAACGCTTCCGCCGGGGCCGGCGACGCAGCGCGCACGCGCTGTGGAACCCGGAAGCGGCGGCGCGGCGGGGCCGGGGCCGGGGCCGGGCTGGGGGCGCTGCCGGCGCGGGGTCCCAGCGAGGGCTCCCAGCGCGGGGTCCCAGCGCGGGGTCCCAGCGCGGGTCCCACGGCCCGGCCCGCCCGGGGCGCCGAGGCTGGGGCTGCTGGGGCAGGTAAAGGGGCCCTGGCGGGGGGGACCTGGGCAGGGACGCGTGAAGATGTGTCCCGGAGGTAGGGACGGGGGCTGCCCGGCACCGTGTGGGTGTCCCGGTGAGGCTGCGGCGGTGACGGGGCGGGGAGGGGTCTCCTCGGGACGGCGAGGGTGTGAGAAAGTGTGGGGAGGTAGGAGAGTGACCTCGGCTCGGGTCATGGAGGGTTTTGGTTTCTTGGAGTTCAGAGTGGCAGGAAACTGGCGGGTTTGCCTTGAACACGGTGCTCGGAGACTGACACCGGTGTCAGAGAGAAGAGGGGCATCTAAGGGCATGTTTCAGTGTGCATTTTTGTCTCTTAAAAGTTATCCTTTTTTGATGTTATCAGAAGTTATCCTTCTGATGACTCCGAAAAGCAGTTTTCCTGTCATTTAAATGCTGTGTGAAAGCATGGTCCACTGCTTGATCATCTTTTCTGTTTTATGGTTTGGTTAGTTGGCTTTTCTTTTGAGCAAACCAGTTACTAGTTCATATATACTAGTTCATATATATACACACACGTATGTATATATATATATATATATATATGTAAGCTGAAAATTTGTAGATCCAAATAGATGTGCTTTCATCTTGTTATATGCTTTATCTTTATGTCTAACTATATGTATCTCTACCTATAAACATGGTTAGAATTATTTTCAGACATTCAAAGAGTGGGACTGGTGCATTATTGAAAATTAGGCTGGCAGATTTGTTACTAATAACTCAATCTCTTGTCCTTTTTCCTTAGTGCTTGACCTGAAATATAGATATCTTCCAGGATGCTGGAGTCCTATGTAACTCCTATTTTGATGAGTTATGTGAATCGCTACATAAAGAACTTGAAGCCTTCAGATCTGCAGTTGTCACTCTGGGGAGGAGATGTTGTGCTTAGTAAACTTGAATTAAAGTTGGATGTACTTGAACAGGTATGTTATCTTTACAGTTGTTGCAGTCTATGCCTTTGGTTTAAAAGAAGTTGACTGAATTATTTAGATTCGTCTGCACAGCTAAATAATCATTCAGTGCTTGCTGATTTTCTTCTTATGCAAGTCCATTTCCCCCCCCTGCATTTAGTTATTCTTGCTTTAATTTCATGCCATTTGTTTAGCAATGAATGGTAATTCTTTACACATTCTGTAACTTATGGGGTGTGAAGAGAAAGGCTTTTTTGTGGACATGTTTCTTCTATCAGTAACCATTGTTTTACAGTATGAACATTAATTATATTTCTTTTCCAGTCATATTTACTCTTTAATTATGCATGCTAAACACAGATTTGTGTTCTCTGATTGGTTTTCTCACTTAAGATTTCATCATTCTGGTTGTATCTAAACTTAAGAGTAGTTGAGGGACAGGTTTTATCAGCTGGTTTGTGTAGATTAGATCAGAGACTAAAGGCAAGCTTTACCCAGTAAAACACTAGATACAGAATTTGGAGTCTGCTGTCAATATAAACTAATTAAGTTTTCGCAGAAGGATAGTTTCCTTTTATGCTTGTCTGAGTTGACAGCTTGAGTGTGTGGGATGAGTAAAGCTTTTTTTCATTGTAGATGGTGTAGCAAGTCTTAACTAGAGTCCTTTGTCCAGATATAGTCCAACCAGATGAAGGAACTGAGATAAATACAACGAAGAAGTATGGGAAATTTAGATAGTACATCTGTTGAAAGAAGAATGAAATAGGCAGGGAATACATTTTTAATTTTGAATATAATAAGGTGAGACAAGATAGGGCAAGAATTATTTGGATGTGACAAGAAACGATGGAATAAATTGCACGTAGGGAGTCTTAGGTTAAAAATAAATGAAAATCTCATTTTTTAGTTCGATTATGAGGTATTGGAGTAGACTGAGGAGACTGCATAGTCTCTGTCGGGGACACCTTTTAAAATGTGGAAGAAGTACTTATGGTTAATAAAGAATCTCTGGTCCTGTTCTGGAAGAGGAGACAATCTTTCAAGAGATCCTGCGCTATTTTCTGTGCTTTTTAAAGAGCTTGACTTGTCTGCCTTCAAGTATTTGGTGGCCTCTCTATTTTCTCTCAAGTGTATTTGTTCCACATTTTCTTGATACAGCTTGTCCACACAGCTGATGTGCATACTAGACTTCAGTTGTGTAGGATGTGTTCCGCCTGTGAACCTTTTTAAATGTAGGTATTATAGACCTAAAGAAGGACTGGTCAGAAACTGGTGCAGATGGCTGGATGTCATCTAGTCCAGCCTCCTCTTCTGAGCAGGGCTGTTGCCAGCATTGTCAGACCATTGTGTTTTTCTCCCGCTGAGTTTTGAAATCTCCTGTCTTGTGAAAACCTTCTCTCTGGGTGAGCTGTTTCAATGCTTTGCTGTACAGAGAGAAAGCTTGTCCTAGTAACAGATGATGACTTGTGATGGATATATTAAACTTGCTGTATTACCTGACACTGTTAGGGTTTTGCTGCTGTCACTGGTGATGTTCCCTTTCTAGTAGTTGGAGTTTGCTGGTGGGTGATCCTTGGCTTCATCGTTGTCTACCTATGTGTCAACTGGGTTCCTAAATATCCAGCTCAATCTAATAGTGTCATGGCTTTTGTGGTGTTACCGTGTATACCTGTACTCATGACTTATCAGCTTTAATGGGGATATGAATATGCGATGAATGCAAAATTTACTTGGATTCATTGTTTTTACATTATTTGGCTCTGTGTTTGTGAAATGTAGTGATTGTAATTTGACTCTTATTATTCTTTGGAACTTGTCTGGACCCATGGACTATAGGGTGTCTTTCTCTTCTTTGTGGAAGGGATGCTGCTTTACACCTGCTCAGCAGAAGTCTTTGGGTATATAGTGTGTGGTAATACAATGATCCAAGCCTTTGCAGCTGGCAGGGAGCTCCCTTGAAAAGCTGGTTTCTGAAAATTACCAGTGTATATTATTTTATTTGGGTTCTCTGCCATGATGGGTTCATGGTATCTGAAGTTAGTCACCTTAACTGTTCTGCTCTTTTAACATCCTTTCTGTCCCAGGCTATCCCCAGCCTGGTTCCCTACTCCTTATTTGAGATGAACACAGCTTTAATTTCATGCTTTAGGTCTTCAGATACAAATGCTCATATCCTGGATATCTGTGTATAGCCTTGAACATTTTTCGCAGAATTCCATTTTTTGTGGAGTTATATGTGACTTTTTGGGAATGTTAGCTTATTTTTTACATATATTTATGTATGTCTTATGCTCTCATTAAAATAAGCTGATTGTCATTGCAATAACTCTTAGGGTCTGTCCTTCTCTCTGCCCTCTTTTTCTTTTTACAGTATCAGTTCCTTAGTGGAAGTCAAGTACTAGTTTGTTCTCAGGTTCAACCTTCTAGGTACAATGTAGCTTTTGTACATAATTGTGTCCCTCTTTGAGTAGCCAGTTAATCATAATTATATATCTATAATAAATAATATTATAATAATTATCTTTAGTTGAAGATTAAATCTGATAAAGTATTGGTATTTTTTTCCCTATCCTCAATGATTCAATTACTGCGAGATGAAGCATGCCAAGAAATTTTCCATCTATGCGTAATACACACATTGTACAAAGATTACTTTGGGAAAGTAATATGTAAAAAAAATTAAATACTACTTTTTTGTAAAGCGTTTTAAGCACTTGTCAGATTTTATGTGAAATCCTCACAATACCAGAGGTAACAGAACTACCCATGAACTTGGTAGCCAGCTTGCGTGTAATGTTTCTGTTGACACAGTGGTACCAAAGAGATGAGATACCTGGTGAGCTCTTTTTGCAGCTTTTATATATTCCCTTAACAATGCAGTTTATGTTAGCTGTTTTACAAACTCAGAAGAGAAAGATGAAGCAGTCTTTGGAAGACAAAGGATAGCTTGATCTAAAGGCTGAGTTGTATTGTAAGTGTGGATTTTTCATATCCAAAAGAATTTATAAAGAAATATGGAAACTTCCAGTGTACTTAAAGAATTATAAGGAGACTAGAGCATTGAAGTATCTTTATTTTAGGTGTCTGTGTTATATGTCACTGGGTTACTTGTGAAATACAGCCTTGACTGTGAAGAAAAGGTATTTGAGTTAACGCTCACGTGGAGAAAAGTACTTGCCAATCAATCCAAAGTTTGAGGTAGTCTTGTGTTTTAGAGCAAGGGGAGATTTTAAGTAAAGGGGGATCATGGTCATCTAGTCTACAGTCTTGCATGGTATTAGTCTGTTATTTATGGGTCAAGCCCAGAAGTTTGGTTTTAGTCATATAATATTTTTGTGAAGGATCTATGTGATGTAAAGGTAAAATCTAAACTGTAATGTCTAATCAGTCATAAGTACAGAAGAAACAAAGAATTCCAAGCAGTACTTAATGAAAGGGGAAAGATTGCACAGGAAGTGAGGAGGAATAAAAGTGGTCTTTTGTTATGTTGTATGATGAACAGGTTTATAAATTTGGCACACATTTGTGTTGTCTATTTAAATACTACAACGAAGAGTTATCTCCATTGCTTAAGGAAATTAGAATAATGCCAGACAACATTTATATCTAAATTTCTTTGAAAAAGAACTACGTTTTAAATACACTGTGCATTTGCTTGTATTTTGAAATAATTCCTACTTCCGTTTCTTTCGACATCTTGCAGTTAACTAGGCAAAATTGAGAATGTGTTAAATCCATCCAGAAAATAGTAGAAAAAGAGCTATTCTAGAATACCTTTTGAAGTAAACGCAGGTCAGGATCTAAACAGACATGGTGGTATTGATGAGTGACATAAAAATTAGATAACTACATGTCTGGAATGGGAATTTATTTCTGTTGCTGTTAACAGTGATAGTTTGCTGTCTTGATCCCTGAAAGCATTCTCTCTCAAGTTGTGATGTCTTTTTAAATTGCATGGTTTTTTATAATTTATTTCTGTGCCACTTCCCCCCCTCTAAAAAACCAAACCAAAACCAAACAAACAATCCAAAACACCCCCCCCACCCCTCCCCCCGCCCCCCCAAAACCTCACAACAAAACTCCAGGACAAAAGGCTCTATTTAATTTATTGTATGATTACTGTAGCAACATGTGTAGCTAAACTGCCCAGTACTTGCTTTTCAGTGTCTTAACTGAAACCGTTTGGATTAAAATTTTATTCTTGTTGCTTATGAGCATACAGCTGAATTTTTAGGAGAGAGGCTTTTGGCTAAAATCCTTAAGTATTTTAGTGAATGAGATGAAGAAAAAACATTTGGAAAAAAAAATTAGCAATTTTCTTCAAACCTTTTATGAGAAACTCTGTAACTGTCATTTTTTAGAATGGGGACTTGAAATTAGATGTGACTTTGTGTAAGCATGGCTGAGGAAGGAGTCAGAAGTTTCCCTAACATGAGACGGGTGTGTTTTTTTTGAGCTTCATTAATGAAAGCTCATTAAACTCCCCAAATTGATTTATAAACTGAAAGCTGTACTTGGAAAAAAAAAAAAAGCTATAATTTTATGTAGTTTTCTTCTCTGAAGGTTTTGTCAGCAGTTAATGTACTTTCGTCTACTCTTAGCTGTGAGATGCAAGGCTGAAAAGGCACCAGCTGCAGAATGGAGAGTGTTCCTTAAAACAGCTCCTATTAGCAGCTGTTGTTGCTGTCATGGTGATAGGTATTCCTGAGTAAGAACTGTTGACTTGTCTTTTGGGTGACAAATCAGAGGCTATCTCAGGATGCTAACCTGTCACAGATGTAATAGCGGTTGTTTCAACTCTCAACTTAGGACACGTTAACTGCTTAGGAAAATCAAAAACTTTGGTGGGCTTTTAAAACGTGTGACTAGGGTTTAATTCTATAGTCATGATTTGTAAATTTATCATTGATTTTATTTCAAGATATTAGGAAAATAACGACATAAGCTAGCTTCACAGAGATATTCTATAGGCAGATTTTAAGACTTTATATGTCACGTACTAAAGGCAAAATACCCTTGTCCCCAAATTTTATTCATACAGAAGCTCCATACAGCAGGGATAGGTCTAGGGTCAAGCAGTGCAGGAAAAGAGGCTTTCTGCATCTTCTAGATGTTTGTTTAAAATTCCCTAGCAACTTGCCTGTTTGACTTCGGAGTTTCTTGGACCTTCTCTATTTAACAGCTATTCATTCAGAGAAGTTCTGAGTTGAATGTTGTATGTACCCAAACTGAGCCAAGGTGCAAAGGTGCTTAAGCCCTGGCTTGCCAGGATAATTCTGGAGTTCTGAACAAAGTTTTATGTCCCTGAGTTTACTAAGAAGCACAACAATTAAGAGCTCGGGAGTGCTGGTCAGCAACAGTCTCAGTACGAGTCAGCAGTGTGCCCAGGCAGCCCAGAGGGCAAACCCCCTCCTGGGGTGCATCACTCGGCATCGCCAGCCAACCATCACCAACAGAACTGACTGTCCCACTGTAACAGTGTTGTTGTGGCTTCACCTTGAGCACTGTGTGCTGTTCTGGGCCCCACAGTTTAACAAGGATGTGTCCAGAGGAGGGTAATAAAGCTGGTGAAAGAGCTGGAGGCAAAGTCCTGTGAGAAAGGACTGAGGACTTGGGGCTTGTCTGGTTTGGAGAAAAGGAGGCTCCACTGCCCTCTAGAGCCTCCTGAGGAGGGCACATGAGAGGGAGGTGCTGAGCTCTTCTCCCTGGTATGCAGGGATAGGACATGTGGGAATGGTTCAAAACTGTGCCAGAAGAGGCTTAGACGGGACATTAGGAAGCATTGACCAGGGTGTGGTCAGACACTGGAAGAGGCTTCCTAGAGGAGGTGGATGCCCCATGCCAGTAAGTGTGTAATTGCACAATGCTCTTAACTACATCTGGTCAGCCCTGAATTAGTTGGGCAGGTGGATTAGAGGGTGGTTCTAGGTTGGCCAAAGCTATCACTCAACATCTAGGAGACTTAGATTCACTCATTTCTTCATCTGAGAAGATATATACCTGTAGTTCTCAGCATCTAAGACGAAAATGAAAACACCAGGCTTATAAGCAATTTGAAGGCATCTGTTGTTTTTCCTCCATTTAAATTTTATAGAAAAAAATGTTAGAATAGACACCAGAAAGGTAAGAAGATGAATTATCATTGGAACCTCATCATTAGAATACTTAGTTTTGAGAATGCTGACTTAAAATTCTGACATAGTATCAAAAATGGTTTCTTTGTTTTGCAGTAAACACTTACTTTCGCTGTTCCAAATCTTGGTTTCTCATCCTGGGACCAGGTCTGTAGCCTGACCACTGTGTCTGTTAAGCACTGAAGCTACTGGAGAAATTGCAGCACTTTGGCACCATATTTCCTGCTGACTTGCTGCATGCAGCAGCTGGCTCAGTGGGGCTGTCCTGTAGAGCTGAGATCTCTGCATTGGCTGGTTGGAGCGTCAGGCATTTGTTAGGAGTTCTGGACTGATTTGCGCCAATTATTAAAGCAGTGTGACAGCCACGTTAGGCCTTGGTGAGGAGGAGTCCAGTTTTGCCAAGGAAAAATTTAATAACTTTGTGTTCACTACCAGTTTGATGTGAATGGGGCAACAGTGGGCCAGCGTTAAGAACACTGAGCTATTACAACTCTAAGTATTAAAATATTTTCAGAGATATTACCTTGCTGTTTTATTGTCAGTGTTTAATTCCAAATTTGTTCTCTTCACAATAACACAGGTTGCATATCAGTTTAAGCATTTACTTTCACCTCACTCATTTCTGCTTGTCCCTTGAATAGTGGCACATTTTGCGGTAGCTTCATGTGAGAGAGGTGGTTTTAAACTCTTTTATTATCAAGGACATGGTAATCCAAATGTCTCCTTTGAACAGACTAATTGTAATGTAAGCGTGCAAGTGATTATAAAGGAATGTCCCATGTCCTGTGACACGCTATTGATTCGGGGAGGGAGAATAAATTTTTACTTACTTTGTGATAGAACCATACTATTTTGAGTTACAAATGCATCTTGAATTTTTAAATGTTTCAGTAGTTAATTCTGCATTCTTTGTTGTTGTTAGGAGCTGAAACTGCCATTTACGTTTTTAAGCGGGCACATTCATGAACTTCGGATTCACGTGCCATGGACAAAATTGGGATCAGAACCAGTTGTCATCACTATCAATACAATGGAGTGCATCTTGAAGTTAAAGGATGGTGCTCAGGTAAGAAATGTGGTGAATGCTTTTCTAACATGGAGAGGTTGATGAGAATAATGGCTTCTACAGGTCACTTTCCGCAAAGCCTTCTGAAGAATGTGACATGTGAAGCTGGGATTCCTTTTAATTTCTGAGAAGCTAATAATGTTCTTGTCATGGTTAGTCTCTTCCTTTATGCTTATTTTTAAACTCTCTTAGCTGCAGCTAATAAACAGTTCATGCAGATGTGAAAGTAAGTTAATAGTGCTCTGCCAGAATTTTCCCATGGCTAGAGAAGAAGTGGATTTCAAGAGCAATACAGGATACTGAGAGTTTGCAGCTTCTGCCTTTCAAGAAAAAGTGCTAGTTGCTTAAGTCAGTTGAATGTGGCACAACTCAGCATTGGGCATTTTTCAGAAGTTGTGTTGCTATTACTGAAGGAATGCTTTAAAGATCCTGGCCTGTAATTAATTCTTACCTTTAGGAGGTATAGTGCTTGCTTGAGTATAGTACTTGGAAGACTTCTTTTATGTAAAGGTCTCACAACAATTTGTACACTATGCTGTTTCACAGGCTTAGGAAAGGTTTTGTTCTGGCACTGTGAAGCCGAAATAAGTGGCTCAGTTTTTGTTGTATGTCTAACATAGTTAACCAGAAGTACCTAGATATATTAATGTTAAACTTTTTTTTTTTTCTTTTTTTTTTTTTTTTTTTAGTCAGTGTGGTGTTTTGATTCTGGAGAGGTTTTCCGGTTTGTTTTTGTTGGTTTTTTTAAAGCCTTGTTCACATTTCAATTTCAGCTTGGTCATTCAGTTATACTGAGGACCATGCAAGAGAAAATTCCAACTGATGCAAAATTCAAGTGTTTTGTAGGGTGCTTGATGAGCTGCTAACATTTAACAGCAATAAATAGATGCAAACCAGCAAGAACATTGCCAGACACTTCTGTGATGGTTGATATTTCTTGTAATATTCTTTTACAGTTCTAGATCTAAGAGGCTTTTTTGCTGGAGTAGAAATCTCTAGTCCTGGCTGTGCCACCCACAAAGCACACGCTTGCATTCTGTAGTTACACTTAATCTATGTGCAGATGTGCACGTGCACATACACACACGTACACGCACCAGGAGCCAAATGCTAAGTACTTTTCCAATATTAAGGTAAGCTTTTTGAGACCAGATGTTCCATGAGAAATGGGTTTCAGAAGCAGCAAATTGCAACTAATTATGAGAGTTGCAGGAAAAGATTTGTAGCCCACGACTTTGTGCAACCCAGAACTAATATTTGATATTGGACCTTGCAGATGGCTACTGCTGGAATGATCAGATTTCCTGCTTGCGTGGTATTCGAAACTTAGATTTTGTGGTGCATACAGCAAGAGGTCAAGTGTCACAAATGTAAAGCGCTCTCAAAACAAGTATTTATTACAGATGTTTAAGATTCAGAGGCAAGACAGGAGTTTTGAAAATTGCAACTGACATTTGAACAAATTATTCAGTGGTATGTACACCCAGGAGGATAAAATTTGGGTCTGTGCCATAGAAGGATTATCTTTGACTAACAAGAATGTAAATGAAAACACTTTTATGCTGTTTTCTGAGGATATGGTTTAAAAAGTTCACTACTTGAATTTTATTTTTTAAATTACTATTTGAAAATGTTTTATAAAAATAAAGTGTTCTGACAAATTCTTGTGTCCTAACTTATTGTACGGCAGAGTACTTGGCTAAAACCAATTGTCATAAAAATCTTTGTAATCAGTGAATAAAATCTATGAATAAAATAAAATATTTCTGTGGAAAATGGTAGTAAAATGAACTTTCAGTGAATTTAGCTCCAACTGGAACTGTTTTGCCAAGAACTTAATATCTGTGAAGAGCATAATTACCAAGAAAGTTTAGTTTAGGTCTCAAATTGATTGTCTTGATCCTGCATTTCCTTCCTCAGGTGAAACTTCTAATGAGCACATGCATAATTTCACCTGACCAAAAAATAAAGTTCCTGACCACAACTTAGTGAGATGTGTATTCCTTGGAAAGGGCTATTTCAAACAATGTTTCTGTTGAAGATGTATGAAGATTAAAATACATTACATTGCTTGAAGTTATTGTCCAGTGGACCCTTCAGATTTTTGTGAGCAAAAACATCTCTTCCTTTTTATGTTTTTGAAGTGTATCAGTCCCATGGAAGTGACTGTTAGTTCAGCTTCAAGTGTTAGTTTAGTTGTTTTTTTGTTGTTCATGCTATTGCAGCATCTCCTCGGCTAAGTCTGGCGTAGATAGTAATGGCTCAATTTCTAGTTTTATGCAAATGCTCTCCTTTTCTAAGCAGAAGTGCTGTAAAAGTGGTAAGTTCACTCAATGATATACAAAATCTCTGTTGTAGAATTAGTGGTATTTATTGTGAGTTTTGAAGTTTGAACATTTTGAAGGTCATTGCTTTTCCCCTTTTGTCTGTGCTTTGCTTCCTTTTCTTCTTTTTTTTTCTGACTGATACTACTGCTTCTAAAAGCAAAATGTTAAATATGGCTATTTTACAAGAAAATTAAACTGAAGTGAATCAGGAATAGAACTTGGCAGTGATTAAAGTGGTGTTCTATTGAACATGCTCTATATGTGTGCTTTTGGTTATGACTTTGTTTAGTGGCAGTACTTGAAATAGAATTTTGGTGTGAGTCATTTTGCATTGCTTTTTGGTGTCTGTCAGCCTAATGCAACTGTGCCTGCCTTTTTTTTCTTTCTCTTTAATGTTCTGCAGTACTGAGTTTTTAAGTATGAGCATTTAGAATGTTCTCAAATTCATCAAACATGTTGGTAAATATGATGTTAAAGCTGTTATTACACACTTAAATGTTTGTTTGACTTGTATTTAAGGTATAGTAATTGACTCTCCTGACACTTCATGAGTGCAATTTATTGTTATAGAAGGTAGTTAAAGTTCTGGTATTATATTCTGCTTATTACCTATCTCATATATTAAATCTCAGGACTTTATATAGCACTGCAAACACCTCGTTAAATCTGTGTTTTTCCTCCTAGAGTTTTTTTCTCCTTTTGTCCTGTTTGAAATTCTTTACTCTTTTTCTCTTTGCCTCTCCGTGCCCCACAACCTCTGTGCCCAAACCACAGGCTTTACATTCAGGTAGTACAAATTGGAAAGGACAAGCCTCTAAGCCCACGTCTGTTTTCTTCACCTTCCTGCAATTATGACTAACCACAAGACTGATGTTCCTCATGTTCAACCTTGATTTCTGTGGTTTTTAGTCTTGGAACTGATGCAATGAGGAGATCAAGGAGAAATGTGTTATCTGTATTATTGCTTCACTTCTGAGTTCTTGCCTTTAATCAGGACACGGTGCACTAGGAATATGCTGATATATGTGAAGATGAAGATTCTCTGTACTCCAAGAATAACTAATTATGGAATTGAGAAGGACTCTTAAGTAGAAGCACTTGCAGGGGCACAGGGAAACCAAGTAGTTTGCCGAAGGAAGTTGTGAAGGAATATAATAACCGTGTGGAAACAGTGGAGAACAGCCCACAAGTATGACTGTCAGAATAGCAGACACATTCTTATCTGACAGTCGGTAGGGACTGCCATCAAAGAATGCTGAAAGCAGGAATTGGTTTTGACCGGGAAATGATCGAGATGGGAGATAAGGTGTGTAGACAGGTTATGAAGGACTTTGAAAGTGAAGACACAAGGCTTATGTTTAATGAGGGTATAGCTATATAAAGTTTTTGCTTAAATGGTAAAGCTATCTCCAGGTTTGAAGCTGTGCTTTGCTGTTTTTGTCCTCACCTGGGTGTAGTAGTTCAATGGAAAGTGCCTGTATGGACAAGTGGTGCTGTTTTCTTTCCATTTGAGTCTGTCTGCTGTTCTGTGACAGCAAAATTATGATAAGACTTGAAATCAGAAGACTTAGCTAACAGTCTTTAGTGGCCCACCTTTGTGCTTTTTATTTCCTCATGTAGAAGCTCAAGGTCTTAATTTTTAAAGTATTTTTTATTTGATACCTGCTCACTTTCATAGTGGTCTCTTCAGTTCATTAAAACTGATATTGAGTTTTAACACTCGTATGCAAAGTTTGAAGTGAAGATTATATTGAGAACTGCCCTGCAGGAAGCAAAATATGCTATCAGCTAGTGTTGAATCATCATGTCAGGTTAATGATGAATCTGAAATTCTCACTAAGCAGCCAGTTCATGCTACTCTTATTTGTGATTTAGTAGATTAATATAAGAAAAAAGGGACTTTTATGTTTTTGTGTGTGTTTGCATACAAATTATTATATATAAGTAACAAGAGCAGTTTTCCATGTTACTGATTTAAAGCAAATACCTTTGTGTAAATCAGACTTAAGTTGTTTAGTCTTTTCCAAAGGCTCAGGAAGATTTGGTGAGACTTTAGTTGTGTTTTATGCCATTTTCAAGAACTCTAGTATGAAGAGTTCTTAAATTTTTCTGTGAATTGATAAATGTGGGAAAAAAAAAGGTGGTTTAGGTAGGAGAATCTCTTTTTCAAGGGAGAAATACCATGCCCTACGAAGCTCTTACAAAAACATTTAGTAAACTTACTCTTTCAGTAGAGGAAGTAGTAAAGGCAGGTTGTTAGAGCTGCTAGAAAAGCCTTGCAGCATTTGGTTCAGACACTTTGTCTTCTATTTCCACTGTTTTCAAAGGAGGCTAAAGAGGAGATGCTGAGCAGCTTTGCTTAAAGCTGAATTACTCTTCAGTGTTCTAGCTGGGCAAACAAGAGTGACCATGTAATTTACCTGTATTTTTTCCTATTAACCATTTTATAGATTGTAAATGCAAAGTATCTGATGCTTTAGATTGCAGTTATTCTGAAAGAATATTATGAAAGAAGAAATCACCTTTGTGAATTAATTCAAAGACTCCTGCGGGCACGTTTTTTAATTTTCTCACTGCCATTGTGTTGCCTCAACATGAGGCAACAATCTATCTTGGTTACATGAATACTGGTTAATGTGTTCCTAATTTTGGACAGTTTTCATGTGAATTTGT